CCTCCCCGCCAACATCGCCGTCCAGGTCAAGGACGTCATTCGGTCATCCCGGTCTTTTGACGTGCTGTGTGCGGCGCTCCAAGCCCGCCTGGCACAGTCACGCGCCGACCGACTACAAGCCCTGCTCGGCCGCCAGCAGCTCGGCGATCAGAAGCCGACGGCGCTGTTGCGTTCAATGCGCAACGAGCTAGCCGCAGCCGGGGACGCCCCGGTTGATACGGAGCTCTTCCGTACCCTATTTCAACAACGGCTACCGCAGCCCGTCCGTGCTGCCCTCGCCCTCCTGCCAGCCGACAGCACGCTTGACGCACTGGCAGAAGCGGCCGACCGGTACCTGGAAGCTAGCGGACCGGACCCACGGCTATCAGCGATCGCGGCACAGCCGTACACACAGCCGGCACCACCCATCGCTGCTGCAGTGACAGCCCCGGCGCCAGCTGCAACCCCTGCGCTGGACACCGTCATCGCCTCCCTGGTCGCTAAGATGGAGCGCCTGGAAGCCAGCAACCGACGACTCGAGGACGCCGTGCGACGCGACCGCAGCCGTTCCCGGCCGCGCCAGGCGTCTCGCCAGTCTCGCCGCCCGTCACCGGCTCGTCCTTCAACGCCGCCGCACGACGACACGCTGTGTTGGTACCACCAGCGATTCGGCGCCCAAGCGCGCCGATGCAAGTTGCCGTGCTCCTGGATCGCCTCGGAAAACTGAGGCGCCCCGTGCTGATGGCGCAAAGCACGGGCGCCCCTCCTGCCGCGCCACTCCTCTTCGTGAGGGACACGGAGACGGACCGGCAATTTCTAGTCGACACCGGGGCGCAGGTCAGCGTGCTGCCTCGCCGCTGCCTGCCCAACGGGTCTACGCTGACCCCTGCTCCTGTCGGCCAGCAGCTCGTCGCGGCAAACGGCTCACCGATCGCGGTGCACGGCACCTGCCTGCTGGACGTCACCTTGAGTCAGCAGCACCGCCTAAAACATCGATTCTTCGTCACCGACGTCACCGCACCCATCTTGGGCACCGACTTCCTGGCCGCACATCACCTCGTCGTGGACGTTGCCAACCAGCGTCTCCTGCGGGACGGCACCGTCTGCGCCAGCGCCGAGCGGTCAAGGCTGTGCTCCATCGGAGTGCGTCTCGTCCGGGAGCAGGCTGCTGCTCGCTTCGCAGCTGTCCTCGCCCGGTACCCGGATGTGACCTCACCAAAACCTGGACCAACACCGGTGAAGCACAACGTGACGCACCACATCGTCGCCGACACGCTGTCGCGCACGGTCTCGATGGTGGCCCAGCCGCGACCCCCGCTCGCCGACTTCACTGCCATCGCCAAGGCCCAGTCCGAAGACGGCTCGCTGGAAGACCTCGAGGCCTCAGACACCTCACTGCGCCTGCGCCACATCCCGGTCGGCGATGGACTCCGTCTGCTCTGCGACGAGTCCATCGGATCGCCTCGGCCGGTCCTCCCAGGGGCGCTGCGCCGGCCCTTCGCCAAGGCTCTGCACGACCTGTCGCACCCTGGCGTCGAGGCTACCGTCAAGCTCGTCTCTAAGCGGTTCGTCTGGCCCGGTATGGATCGCGACGTGCGCCGCTGGACCCGAACCTGCCTCGCCTGTCAGCGCTGCAAAATCGGCCGGCACACCAAGTCCGACGTCGGCACCTTCCAGCCACCTCAGCAACGCTTCGACCACGTCCACGTGGACCTCGTCGGCCCGATGCCTCCGTCAAGAGGGCACTCGTACCTCCTGACGTGCGTCGACCGGTTCACTCGGTGGCCAGAAGCCATCCCTCTGCCGGACATCCGCACCACCACGGTCGCCCGCGCCTTCCTCGAGCACTGGGTCGCCCGATTCGGCGTTCCGTCCATCATCACGACGGACCGAGGCGCCCAGTTCGAGTCGGCCCTCTGGTCGGAGCTACAGCGATTCCTGGGCTGCCAGCGAACTCGGACGACGTCCTACCACCCGGCCTGCAACGGTATGGTGGAACGCCTGCATCGCCAGCTGAAGGCCAGCCTCCGTGCACACCAGGCTACGTCATGGACGGACGTGCTGCCGCTGGTGCTCCTGGGCATACGCTCCACCATCAAGGCGGACCTGCAGGCGACGTCAGCCGAGCTGGTGTACGGCTCCTCACTGCGGCTTCCCGGCGAGTTCTTCATCAGCAGCCAAGCCTCAGCAGCATCACCGGCCGGCTTCGTTCAGGACCTGAAGCGCGCCATGTCTCAGGTGCGGCCGACACTCCCACGTCCGGTCCAGCGCGCCACGTACGTCCCGACGGCACTCCAGACGGCGACACACGTCTTCGTGCGCAGGGACTGTCACCGCTACCCGCTGGACGCTCCATACGACGGACCGTTCCCGGTTACCGAAAGGACCACCAAAACCATCACCATCGACCGTCGACAGAAAAAGGAAGTCATCAGCATCGACCGGTGTAAGGCCGCCTTCCTGGAGACGCCAGACGAATCCGGTCATCGACAGTCTGACCTGCCGACTGTGCAGCCGCACGGTACTCAGTCCAGCGGCCCGCCGGCCGCGCCACCGCTCAGCAATGAGCCCAGCGGCCCGGAGCTTCTGATCTACGGTGACGCACCAGCTCGCCCTGCAGCCGTCGCTCGGGCTGACGCTGCACCATTGCAGCCTCAGCCGATACTACGGACAACACGCTCCGGCCGCGTCATACGACCTCCGGTAAGATATCGACATGTCACTTTTGTCCGCGACATGTCTGGCGAGGGGGTACTGTAGGGATCATCTATGCGATTTATCATCTATGCGATGTGTCATCTATGCGATTTGTCATTTCATGTTGTCATTTTCATTTATATTGTCACCGCCTTTTTAATCAATCTGTTACCTGTTGCCAATTGTGCGTCAAGTTTGTTTGTTATTTGTAAACCGGCCTGCCGCTGGCCTCAACCTTCCTAGTAACCGCTGTGCCATACGCTATAGAACGTGTCGTGCGAAGGTCATTCGGCGGCACCCCTGAGGCGGCCGCTGCCCGTACGTTTAGGAGCCCATTGTCGTGACGTCATGACTGAACAAAGGTCGCGGTAAGGGCTCTCCCGGCAGCCGGACGGTGACTCATACGTTAAGCTTGTCTCTCGTCGCGCCTGCGGGCATATTGGTAGTACTAGGGACGGCCAGCATATGACCGCGGCTTTCGGCGACATTGTCAATTCGTTTCTCGACTCTGCTGTTCGCTACAAGACAAATACACGTAGAAAACGGCTCGGGCATTTGGAGAAGAGCGGCTACTCTGAGGCGAGGGAAGAACACGGAGATTCACACAAACGACCTGACTAGGTTGCACCGGCCACAGTCGACCGAGGTGGGCTTCTGCGCCCTTAAAGACGCCTCTGACTGGCCATTGCGCTGACACCCTGGTCGGACCACGGTCATTGATCGGACCCTGCCTTTGGTTCGTGCTCAGGCTGCCTTAGCGGGTAGACCTGCTCGACCAGACGCCCACTGGTGGGCGAGTGCTCGGTTCCGACTTTCACCTCCGGTCCAACAGCGTTCTGCTGGTTCCCGCCGATCCGGTTACGACACCGCAAGTGCCGTACCGACTCGGGCGCCCCAGGTGGGCGTAACGGTTACCACACCAGTTTGCGACCCCCAGGCTCTGTCAGCCGTCGTACGGCTCTCGGACGGACACTCTAATAGATCAGCCACAGATCAATAGATTGTCACAGACCGTCCGTCCAGCCACGCGCTACCCACAGCGCAGTACGACAAGCTCTTCCCGCGAAACCTTTTTTTGGGGTCGAAAATGGCAGAAATTCATTAGCGGCCAACCTATCATAGCCTTTGGAAAAATTTTTGGTCACTATGTGCGCTAGCTACTCCCGGGAGGGTACCGAAAGTTTGGTGACGATCGGCGCGGCGGTTCTCGAGATATATCGAAAAAACTAGGGGGGGGGGGGGCAAAAAATGCCCCCCCCCCACCGCCTGGAAGGTTAAGTTATCAAGAGGCATTTGAAATGATTTCTGTTTAGCCTGGACGGGCCCGAGGGTAATCCCAACCACCGCAGCCCGGGGGCGTCTTTGCCCCCCCCCCCCCGTGTAACTCTGTTGATAAGGGAACTACGGAAACAAAAGCCGTACCAAAGAAAGTTCTTTATCCCGCGCCCCGCCTGGCTGTTTAGCCATAAGCGCCCTGCTGGGGGGGGGGGGGCAGATTCTGCCCCTTGTCTAGCTTGCAAACCGATGGTCGGTATAAAGACGGGGAAAATGGCAATCAAAAGCTCTCAACAAGAACAACATTTGGAGCAAAGAATTAATTTTTCTTCGGAAGATGTCTAATTGGTGGGGAAAACGTGCTGTACCTAACTCTCTCGCTCCTAACCCTAAGCGCTCTGGAGCTATCGCAAATAGGTAGGTAGGTGTAAGGGGCGGGGGGCGGGGCTGAAAACGTTTCCGCGGACTGAACGAGGGCAAAAAAGGATAGTCTCATTTTTATGACTTAGGAGAATGCAGAATAACTAGAGATCACTCTCTGGAGAGAAAGAATAAAGTGGATTTAGCAAAATGGTCGCAAAACAATTAGAGAGCTTAGGACGGTCACTAAAGTAAGAAAATAGGCGGCCTATCCAAGGCGGCCATTCGAAGCAACCTAAGGCCAGGTGGGAGACGTTTTTACACCCCGTCTATGTTATAACATACTTTGTGATCCCTCTGTCCCGCACATTCAGTTTTCAAATGGGTAAATGGGTATCAAATGGGTATTACCCCTTCAAGGGGTTTTTACACGCTTTGGCAATGATATTTACTTGTGCTTGAAGGGAAAACTTTAAATATGGTAGCAAAAATCTTGGTCTAGATTAAAATACTCGCAGTCTGACGGTCCCCACTAAATTTAGACAGCTGTTCAATCGAAAATATTTCAGCCATCAGTTGCTAGGCAGCTTGCTGGCGGTCACTCCAACCTCATCAACGATTGGACGCTTTTTTGGACAAGATTGGTCGTTCTTCGAGGTGAATCTTTTAGCGAACAGGTCCAAAACCAAATGTTTTTCTTCACGCTGACAGTCGCCGAGCGATATCAGTCGCTGAGGGGTGTGGATTATTGTGAGAATGTCTTATTTATTTGATTTAATATAAGTGCCTATGTCACGATGGTTGGGCTTGAATACAATGCAGAGTATGGAGAAGAAGTGTTTCCAAATGATTGTGACACTTCTGAAGCCTCCAATGTGTGTCTTAGCAAACAGCTTGTGGAGAATCAAGAAAAATTTGTTTTTAACAAGCAGTATTTAAAAGGATTACTGGCATCTTCTGTCCAAGCTTTGAACCTCTTCTCAGATTCCAAGCATCATGATCATGACCAGCAAGTGTCACATGGTAAGTAGACTGGTATTTATTTACTTAAGGTCCGCAAAACGGGTAAATAAAAGTCATTCACACGATACTCTAAGACCTCCTGATTTCATTTCTGATACTTATTCCTTCTAGAAATCAATTTGAAAGCACCAGTACACTAGTATCACCAGTATCACCACCAATGGCCCCACCTCCTGACTCCTCCTACCGGAACTGCACGCGTCAAAAGACCGTCTGGGCGGCGCACCCGCTACAAATGGTCCAACCAAGGTTGAGCGAAATTACAGATGATAATAAATTGTAAGGAAAGTGACATCAAAATAATCGCGGCGGAGCGGTGCAGTGCCGAAGGCAATGCCTTAGGAGAGATTACAGGCAATGGTAAGTCAAATATTTTGGTATATGTCAAGTTTAGGTCCTAACTACAACTGTGGCGCTTTTGATACGAATATGAAACAGCAAAAATTTTAGGTTTTTGGTTAGGTTAGGTTGTAGGTTTGTAGGTTTTAGGTTGTAGGTAGGTAGGTTTGTAGGTTAGGTTAGGTTAGGGTAGGTTTGTAGGTTGTAGGTTGGTAGGTTATAGGTAAGTAGGTAAGGTTAGGTCAGGTTTGATTATGTTTTTTTCTTTTATTTGCGAGACATATGAGTATCATTTTTGGATTCAGGATGTCAAATAATGTTATAATATGAAAAATTTATCAATGAAATCTTCTTAGGACTTAAACTTGACATTTACCAATATTTTTAGGTTAAGTGGTTGTGTATCTGGCTTCAGGCCGAAGGCCTGAAGCCTGATGCATAACCACTTAACATAAAAATATTTGACTTACCATTGCTTGCAATCTATTCATGCAAGTCACTTTTTCCTTTTCCCCCAGTAGGCAAACATCACTAGGTCAGGTTAGGTAAGGTTTGGTTATGTTCTGATCATTTTCTCATGCTCTATTACCTTTGCTAAATATTTTCTCTTTTTTATCCACCGTTTTCTTGTGCTTTGGTATTATGACGTCATTTTCATAACGTCAAAAACTAATGAATATCCGCATCATTTTTTTCTTTTATAGGGCAACGTTGTATGTTTCGTTTTCGTCGCGGAGGCATGCTTTCTCCAGTGTGTATTGTGCAGCAGTGCGGTGTAATGCGCTGGGGTTTTAGTATCTTATTTTACATTTTTGATGCATTTAACCCGGCAGTTGCTGGGGTATTTCGCCACCCACCGTTTGCTGGGGGGGGGGGGGGCGTTAAACGCCCCCAGCCGATAACTCGAGAACCAATAGGCGCAGCGAAACGCACGAGGCGGCAAACGAAAGAACGCGACGAGACGCTTCAGATGAGTACTTTAAAGTTGAATTTTGAGGTCACAGGTCAGGTCAAGGTCAGGTCAAACACCTGAAATCGGGCTTTCAGTAGCATGGACTTCAGGACTTCGCAATGGGCGCCTCTCGTCATAAACTCTGTCAAAACGGTGCACAGTCCATCATATAAGGCCTACAAGAGTGTCAGCTCCATGTAGGGGTCAGTCAAGCATAGGTCAGGGTCAAGGTCAGGTCAACCGGGCAGGCACATATCCCCGAAAATAAAAACTGATATTCGCAGCCTGTGACACATGTTTTATGGGTCATTTGGGGCGTAGAACACGATGGTGACATTCATTTTATCATATGTGTACGTGTTTGGCTAAAAAAGTTCAATTTAAGAAATTCATGTATCATGGTCGTGAAGTAGTCACGAGAAATTGCCAAGATTCAGTTCAAGATTTTGGAAAATGCGGAACGATAATCAATAATCGAAGATAACCATTTGATTCTCCATGGTATTGGCAGTCTAATGGCGTTTACGGCATGTCTATATGTCTATTCTGTGATTTTATATGATTTTTTGAACATATGCCGTTTTTGGTCGAAAACTCAGAAATCATGACGTCACTAAAACCTCGATATCTCAAAAATTTTCCGAACGATTTTTTTGAAACTTCGTCACAATAAACTTCAATCAATTCCCTACAGGTACTCAAAATTTGGCGCGCCTGTGGCGCGCCGTTTTTATGCTATGGCCCGGCGAAAAAAGTGGGGGCGTTTAACGCCCCCCCCCCCCAGCAACTCGCGGGTTAAGCATCATATCTGATTTCAGGACATCAAATAGTGTAAGAATGTGCATTTTTTCTTGTTAAGAAAATATTGCGGACCTAAAGTAAACATTTACCAGACTGTAGACTTCGTTGAAGCCAAATTATGCATTTTTTTTTTGTTTCCCGTTACCCATATGAAATGCATTGCCTATTAAAAATACTCACTGATACTAATATTTTTACATTTAAGGATTATTAGTTCTCACCTTAAGTCCTTTGGGCTTTGAGTGTGGTTGTTCTTCTGTGATGTTTTATTTCTTGGTTTGTGTTTAAACAGATATTAGTGATAGGATCAAATTTTCTTTTTTTAGTTGGTATTGCATTTTTAGGTCAATACCTATGAATGCTCATAGACTAGCCCCATGGCATAATCATAGGCTGCAAAATTGTGTTCGAGCTTTTCAGGAAACACAGGTTTAATAACTGTATGTAATTTTTATGGTGTTAACATAGCCTGGATAGTTTCTATCATGCTCACTTTTCTGGCTGCAATAAGCCTTCTAGTCTGTGATTGACAATAGAAGATTTCAAGATTATCATGTCATGCTGATAAGCAATGTTGATGGTTGTTTGCTTGTGTGCATCAGATCATCAGCTTGATGACTAGAAGGCACCTACCTATAATTTGTTTAGACATGCATAAAATACATTGGCAAGCAGACATTGGACAGAATGCAATTTGAGACATGATTGAAATTATTTGATGCATGATTTAAATTATTTGGTCATTGGTTGATCACATTTGATCCTGTCCAATGCCCATCCAATGATGGTACCAAAGATAAAACTAATCAAAACTGACATTTTCTACAAAATTTGTTTGAAAACTCATTATTATTATGCACTCTGCCGATGGGTATGATATTGACTTCTTTGACACACTTTTAACTGTGACCTGACTTGAGTCATTTGTCATTATAAGTGGTTTATATTTGATTCATATAAATCATAATATAGATATAATCAAATATGCAAGCAAAAGCAGGCAACAATGGCATTGCAAGATTGATATTGTATTTAGTTTGTCTTTACCAGAAAATGCATAAATTAACAGCACTAGTGACTGAAAAAATATCCATGGTAACAGTAACCCAGGAAGTGCACGATCATGGCTATGACTCATTTTGATTGATAGGTAGGTATTTAGCTAATAGTTATGGATATTACAGGTTGCATACTTGTACCTATTTGATTTATGATTTGGAATTCCTTGGAAAAGTGATATTGGAAAAAGTTGCTTCGAAATACTTCCAGGCGTGTTCATCATATTCGCGGTGCTCTCAAAAATGGTTTATTGTTAGGTTGAACTGGTACTTGTTACTTTGCATGTATACACTCCACATCCCCTAGATATGGTCCCATCTGCTACTCTACAGATATTCTCTCTTGCCTACAAAACTACTCCTTAGCTGACCCACAGACCCCCACTTCCGTCCACTAGACGACCCGATGTCTGCCGACCTGGCGGCCCAGTTCGCCCAGCTGGAGGAGGACCACCCGGTGCTGCGGCAGCCCGTCTGCTTGGTGGTGCTCGGCGCCGACAACGGCGCTCGTGCCGCGCTGGTGGCCGCGCTGCTCGGCGAGCCGCTGCTGCCGCTGGCGGCGCCGGCCGGCACCGCGCGCCGCTGGCCGCCGCTGGTGGTGCGCGGCGCGTGCGACAACTTCGCCGTGATGCTGGAGGAACGGAGCGGCCTGCGCCGCCAGACGGACCTAGTGGTGCGCGACACGGAGCGCGGCCGGCTCCTGGAGCCGCCCTGCCTGGCTGAGCTCGGACTCGCCGACACGGTGGGTGCCCGGAGGGGCCCTCGGGGTGTATCCTTCCGACCGGTGCAGACCCCGGACACCGCCGGACGGGGATACCAGCCGGCCTGGGACACTCCCTTACTTGGGGGGGGGGGAGGGGCAGTCTGGAGCTGTGATAACCCTTCTCTTCTCTTGGGAGCGGAACACTCAGTAGGCTCAAACCCACCCCAGACGTCCTTTCATGAATTCTCCTTTCCGTGTCCGATTTCCATAATTTTTCTTGTAAGTTCCGGTCCCCCGAATACCCGCAGCGCTGATGGTTCCCAGCGACTGATTGTCGCGAGTATCCAGTCTGCATCGAGCCTCGGCAGACTTCCCGGCTAAACCGGATGTCGGGATACCTGACAGCCATTAATCAATGCTAGCTGATGTTCGTAGGCACGCATCGATGACAGGTTGTGACTGATGCTCTTTTACGCACTGTTGTAAGCATCTGTCATTTGTCAATATAGCTACTCGTTATGGGTAAGCACAATCCCAACTATTTATGTTCACATTTTTGCAAAGTTATGGTAATTGACGTGTACGTGACAATGCCAATTAACTCCTTAATATTTAGCGAACCTTTTACCTAGAAATGTCTACGATATCTCCCGTAGTATGCTCTTCAGGTATATACGGTTGATGTGTGGCTCGATTCGATACGTGAGGCCCGCAGTGTGACAGGTGCCCTCTCCTCGGCCAGGACGGCACGTGTGTGTGGGTGAACGTGGGTCTGAACCACCCGCTGCTGCGCGGCGACCACGTGCGGCTGGTGGTGGCTCCCACCCACCAGGCGGCTACCGTGCACTGCTTCCTCGAGGATGTGGTGCCCGTTTTCCTGTACGGCACGGCCGCCAACTGCCTCTCCGAACAGGTGGGTCTGAGTGCGCCAGCTCAGTGGGGCTCTGTGGGAACGGCGTTAGATGTTTTACGGTCCCTATCTTAAACCTTCAGTTTCTTCGTTGAGGTGTCAACACGGGGAAGAACACACGCCACGCTGTCGGTCTGATTTCAGTATGGATATCGTAGTTTAGCATCACTCACACAGCTGAACCTAGCGCAAGTCTAAACGTTTTGTGGAAAATTGCCTGGCTTGCCTAACGCTAGTCATTTGAGTTGTCGGACATCCTTGCCATCAGTCCCTTCCACTCCTCCTCTGTGTGTGTGTGTGTGTGTGTGGGGGGGGGGGGGCTACTTAAAGGGACCCTCCCACCTTAACATTAGATTTGAGTTGAGATAGCCAAAATGGGGTCCCTGGCTCACAATTACCGGTTTCGGCACTCACAACATCGAGAAATGCCTTAAATCGGAAATATTGAATTTCAAAATTGCAGCATTTTGATTTAGAGGGGCTAATGCTTAGGAATACCCCTCTGAATGTGTGACGTCAGCGCAAATATCTAACGATTTTTAAATGTTTGACTAAAACGTTTTGTAGCACGCGGTGGTATATGCTATTTGCGCGCAACATCTGCCGCAAACGCCGCACTTCTAAAATAAAGTCGCTAGAAACAGCGGAGATACTAAAAAAGTAAACAAAAGTAAAAGTCTAATATCTTGAAAACCGGTTAATATTTTTCGGTGAAATTTGGTAGATATTCGTTTTAGCTCTTTCTGAACCGAGCGACATCACTTTCATGCCAATTCATAAACTTTTTTGAAGGTGGGAGGGTCCCTTTAAAGTAGTTGCGAGTTGGGACGCACCTGAGCAGCTGGGTTTACGTAGTCGAGGTGAACGAGAGGGGCGTCCTTGGCCGACCGACACCGGACGAATGCTCGGTACACGCCTTGCGCCGGCCGACACCGGGCCCATATTCACCACACAATGTGCGTCAAGGCCAGCCGAGTCATCGCTAGTCAGCGGCATCGGAGGCCGAAGCCCACGGAGGGTTCCGTGACTTCTGGGCTACTAGACTACTCACGTTTTAATATTTGTTCGAAGAACATCGGCGTTTGCATCTGGGGAAGTGTTTTCTGCGTACGCACGGGCTACGGATTATGTTACGGTATTGCATATGCTCAACTATCTATTTCAATTTAATCGGTATTCGGCTCACAAACACATTAGCGTGGAATTTGTCGGATTTACATAGGATGTGATCATACGCAAAGCGTGTTGCATCGCATAAAGGATGCAATCAATCAAGTCAGAACTTCAAATATTTGGAAACTTCGAATAGCGACCGAATAATTTGGTTGTTGAACAACCTCTCGCTGCAATTGCTCAAAATCGCCTTAAAGGGACTATCCCACCTTCTAAAATGTTGTTAAAACCAGTTAAATTGTGCCCGACTTTATAGATTGGATGACCAGGAACACGGTTCTGGCATTTATTTTTCATTAAACATCTTAGGCTTCCCATATTCCAAACACAAACTTTCAAATATGTGACGTCACAGCCCAAAATTACCTCCTTCCCCAGGCCACATTACTGTCATAAAGCTGATTCTTTTTACTCTGTAGGCACCACAACAAAGTTCAGACCAAGTTTTAAGCGATTTTTCAACGAACAAACCCATTTAAATCAGAATGACTAAACGAGGTGACGTCACACTAACGGTCGCTCCATGTTGAAGATAGGGCCTTGTACAAGGCCCATTTTCAAATGAAGGGAACGAATTTCTTCAACACCAAGAGGCCGCGGGGGTTGCAACCTAGATAGATAGTGGTTTCTGAACCTCGCCGCAAACTTGGCTATCTCAACTCAAACCCCATGTTAAAGGTGGGATAGTCCCTTTAAGGCCGCCCCACACTGGAACTCGCATGCGGGTTGCGGGTTTGCGGGTTTTAAGTTTGCGAGCATAATACTAATTCATAAAGTGATTAGACCGCTACCTTATGGTAAATTCATGAATGCAGTGAAGCCGGTACACCTTCAGAAACTTACATATAGTCGCAATACCAGCGCAACGAACCAAAATTCGACTCCAACGAAAAACCCGCAAACCTCGCAGAACTCGCAGACCTCGCAGCGAGGAAAATCGAAAGTTGACTCAAAATCAACTTATGGAATGCGATGCAAGGTCGCTCGCAAGCTAAAAACATGCAGACTCGCTTGTTAGATGGTAGTGTGGGTCACTCAGCTTGGATTGTATTATTTGATTTTGAAGAAACCCGAAAACCCAAAAACTCGCAACCCGCATGCGAGGTTCGGTGTGGGGCGGCCTTTAGTTGTGTAACCTTAACCCTCGCCGGCACAGGCCATTTTGCGTCCTTCGACGGCACAAGGGGGGTTGGTACGACCCCCCCCTCGCGTTTGGCCCCTGATCGAGCTAGAGCTTCGCGGAAAAAACGAGCGTGTTGCCCGTCACGAGACGAAGCCGATGATACCCAATTTTAAGGTCCTAGGTCATCGGGTGACCTTCCAGGTCAGGTCAATGACCCGAACACCGGGAAAATCGGGACCTGTTAGAAAGTCGTAAAGTGTGGCTGCTATGTGGTTTTCCGGGGTGCTGATCACGAATATCGTGTTAGTTTTGATCAGAGATGATGTCTTTAAGCATTTAGACCAGGTCGGGTCAGGTCAGGTCAGGTCAACCGGTAGGGGTTGTGACGGGTATTCGTAATACGTGTCAACCGCCTCTGACAGCTTCGTAACATGTTATGAAGGCACCAAAATTACTTCGTAAATGTTCAAATGGTTGTCAAATTCGAATTCAGCTCCAAAAACTAGCCTAGAAACATGTAAAACTCGACAAAGTGAACCGAGGTCACCCGAGGTCACCAAAGGTCAATGACCTGACCTGACCTTCAGGTGACCTTGAAACCAACCCTAATGTATGGGAGCGACATCAAATCACATGTTTGAACGTTTGAAACATCTAAAAGCTTGCAAACGCGCGGCTAATGTTAGCCGACATACGCCGAATCGCGATTCCGGCCAAACATGGTCTCGGAAAAGAGGTCACAGGTCAAAGGTCATTGGGGTCAGGGTCATGAAATTTTCAGGGTAGGTGTAAAATTGATCAATGCGAGGGTACTGAAAGTTTCGTCGCGATCGGCCGCTTTTTACGCGAGTTATTCGCGAAAAACCTTAGGGGGGGGGGTTGCATCAACCCCCCCCCCCCTGTGCCGGCGAGGGTTAAGACTTTTCACGGAGGATCTTCGCATTTATTGATGCGTACGCATGTGCTTTTCATCAGGAACAGGGCTTCGCGGCAGAAGTGGGGTTGTCCCCCTGTTCAAACTCCGACCCCCCCCCCGTCAGGAGCGAGACTGTCCCCTAACCGCTACCCGCTCCTCGCTCCTCCCCGTCAGGAGCGGACTGAGCTGGGCGATCTACACCGCATCACCGGCGGACAGGCGGTGTTCTTTGCGGCCCCTATCGACTCCCCGGCCGAGCCGGCGGGTTCCGCTCCGCCCCCGCAGCTCTCACTGCACTGGCCGCACCAGGCCCGGCCCGGCCGGCGGCCCGGCGTGGCGCCCGCTCGGGTCAGCCCCGAGCCGGCTGTGGTGGCCCGACCGCCGCCCGGACCGCTGCTGCTCCAACTGCGGGCCATAGGTGAGAGGACGGCGGCCGGTGGGGACTGGGGAGGGACGCCGCGTAGGGGAGGTTTAAACAAAGGTCGAGGCCAGCCGTAATGCGCTACGCCCGGAAGGAAACTGTTATCATCCTCATTATGTTTTCCTTTCTTCAGTGAAGCTCTACAGTTATCTCGATTTTTTTTTCAGTCGGTAAATACTTTTTTGTACGTTGTATATTCTGGTCTTAATCTCCTGTTTTCCATGTCACAAGTCATGTTTGCTTATCAGTAAAGAAAGTCGATAGCAGTGCATTCGGATCACTATTTCAGCCATTATTTTCGTTCATGTTTGGCAGGTTACGAGTTCAGCACGTGTCCTCCGGCGTCGCTGGGCCAGTCAGTGGACGAGCTGTTCCAGAACTGTCAGCTAGTGGCCGGCAGTGCCGGGATGCTGGCCTTTGCGCCCTACCTGAGGACCTGTCTGCAGTTGCAGCTGTTGCGGGCCGCGCATCAGGTCAACAAGGTAGGTGACGGGGGCTGCACAGTGCACACTGCTCACCGGGTCAACAGAGTGGGTATCGGGGACTTGCCGCCCACCGGGTCAACAATTTCAGTGACGGGGAAATGCTCACTGATAGGGAAGGTGGGGACAGCGAACCGCACAGCTCCCGTCAAAACAACACTGTTTAGCTTGTGACTGTGCGATTGACATAGCAAACTAAGACGGGGGACTGTGCATTCCTCACCGAGTCAAGGCGGTGAGACTGATTGAGACTCGGCCACTGATTGGATATTGGAGAGAGTAAATCTCTGCCGTATGCACCACCACAGTCGCTCCCCGTTATCGCACGTCATCGCTTGACAGTCACCTCACTGAGGACGGGGTGAAGAACTCTGCTGTCAGGAGGAAGGTGACAAGCTATCTGATAATGTAGCCGATCGGAATGTGTCTGACAATAAATAAAGCAGGGATTATGTTATTGTCGCCTGTAAAGTCAGGTGCCGTTGATCGCGAGGTTTAACAATTTTTAAAGTGGTTTTGGAAAGGAAGTGCTGGCCGTAGTTCTTGGCCGGAAAAGGTGGTATTTATTATGTCATAATTGTGTTGATCAAGCCGTTTCCGTTAGAATGCCGAATAATGTCACTAACTTGCCATTGACTCGGGCACAAATGTTCCGTGCTATTTCGAAGGGGAAAAAACTCAAATGGAGCCTTGCCCCAGCTATATATGTGAATAAGCTGCTATTAAATTAGATTACGGTTCTGGTGAGAACCGGTCGCCAAACGTCGCTATCAAGAAGCGTGATGAATCAAATAAGTTTTTTTTTCTCTAGTGTTTCCTAGTCATTTATCAGATTGACGTAAAATCGTCAAAACTCCTTATTTAGGTCCCTCGTGTCGAAAGCCTTGGAGGTCGTAATTCCATATCAAGGTGTAATGATTTTTTATTGTAATGCTTACAATAGACACGTCTGTCGGTAATTGTAGTTCTGACCATATTTCAAGTCATCTGCGTTTTTCATATTGTCATAATATATGCTGCTAGCCGCCCACAAGGTATACCCGTCCTACTCGTATACGGAATGGTTTATTAGAGAGCTGAAGCTGAAATAAGGAACCGAAGACGAGCAATTAAACCAGCTGTCAGAAGTCGGAACATGCTACCGAGCTCACAATGGTACTGGACTTTAACTTCAAAAGTAATTGTTGCGCTCGCTTTCTCACTAGGCATTGTAGCACAAACCGTAAAGGGGAGGTGTATTTTTGACGTAGGCGCCGAACCGTTACGCAATGTTTCTCCCGGAGCCGGTTTGCTATCTGCTACGCTCATACGTCTGTGCTGCGTTTAAAAACAGCACCTTGTTCGCGCCGGAGAGGTCAGCCTCCCGACCGAGCCCAATCATACTGATGCACAACCCGGACGCAAATTTCCGAAGGATGAATTACCAAATACCGTTTACATTTTTCCCCCGGAAGCTCTGAATGCATTCCTATAAACATTCCAAACCTCACCAAACGTATTCAAACAACCGAGACACCAAACCCATTTCTACGTACGAATCACCAACTTTTAACCTCTCCATCAACAGTCTACGGCGCGGCCGATAGACTAATTGAGAAAACTTGTAAAAGAAAACGCCTATCGCTGCACCCGTCGCAATTCAGTAGGGGAGAGTGGGGTAATTTGGCCGGTGGTGTAAATTGGCCGCCCCCACCTGTACGAAAGCTGATAAAAGTGAATGAAATAACTTTAGTCTCTATTCATTTGTCATCGGTAGAACTAACTCGAGAACAAATGTCAAAATTTTCCCCCTCTTAGTTTTATTCAAACTTAATAAAAGGTGAATTTCGTTAGAAAATGGTAACTTTTACTTCCCTTTAAAAATTTGTATACCATGTAGTATTTGGGCTTTACACGAATTCCAACATTATAGCGCCATTTTTGAGGGTGTTCAGCGGTTCCAAGAGCAATTTCATCTAGTTCTGTACAGCCATGACGACTTTATAGACAAAAATTGTCAGAATGGCAATGTGGGGTTATTTGGCCGGGACTAGCGGGGCAACTTGGCCGGTGCGCTCGGAGTCACTATGCTGGGACGGCCGAGTTGTCATGGTCAATTATACCATAAAGGACATAATTCATGACCAACTTTGACTACCTTGATGCCATATTTCCTATTGGACAGCTGTAAGGGCATGTGACGTCATCAAAAGTTACCTAACGCTTTTTTGCTAATAAATACAGAAAAAAGATACAGCCGCGCAAATGGTCTCATTGTGTTCAGCTCGTCAAGGCGCATCGAATGATATACATGATGACCTTGAACTCACGTAACCTTGAGGTCAAGCGACCTGAGGTAGCGTGACCTGAAGCCAACCTTTGACCTTGACCTGTCGAGGTCAACACATACATGTTTCGATGCGGAATGACGAGAGAATTACGATGATACTTTAAGTTTTGGCCTAGCTTGATTACTTCAAAAGCTATTCGTAAAAAGCTGTCATCGCATCTAAAGCCGCTATTTTGACTATTTTCGACCACTGTGACGGCTGAGTCAACCTCCAAAATGCTTCAAATGCGTCGTAGGACACACGTCATTGCTGAAAGTGAAGCTGACTCGCCTATAACAAAAATCATGGCCTCAAACTAACACCGGCCAAATTGCCCCACACCCCCGGCCAAATAACCCTGCTAGTGGGGCAATTTGGCCGCTTTGCAGACCTTTGTAATACGTCACAATTTCAATATAAATAGTTAATCTATCATTTCAAGTTTACTGTCAAAGAAAGTAAAATGTATGCCACACCTGTCAGCGTTGAGAAAATGCAGAAATGTGTTGTCGATTTTTAGTTACATCGTTTTCTAAAAAAAAAGCGGCCAAATTACCCCACTCTCCCCTAATTAAATCTAGGTAGTCGCGAACGCCTGCTCATTGCTCAGTGCTCATTTTTCCCTGTTCACTGTTGCCGACGCTGTCTCTCGCGGTTAAGAGGTTGAAAACACGGTCATTCCGAATGTTGCATTTGTGTCTGATCGCAATGCACGTGTGCCGCCGCTGGCATCCCTGCCACCATCGACCGCATCACCTCAGCCCCTGCCACCACCAGCCGCCCTGCCACCTCAGCCCCTGTCATCACTCGCGCGACCACCCCATCAGCTATGCCCGATAGTAGTGACGCAGAAGGGCGCCCCGGCACCCGCGCCCGGCCTCAATACACGGCATACGCCCAATGGATGGTCGCGACTCCGCCATTCATACACACCGCACAGGTCTGAAGAAAGGTTGATAAATAGACATTGAACTTTTAGCTGATATTGGTCTGACGTTCACTCGTGTTGCCGGCGTGAAATAAACAAAGAAATTTCCCGAGCTAAAATAAGGTAGTTTTTTATTCTGACGCATGTTTATTTTGGTGACCACATTTTCTGCGCGTGTCAAGGCCAGACGATGGAAGCGTTGGCCGAGGCAATAGGCCCAGTGAGCGAGAGACCACTGAATTACGGAGGGAGCTGGTGACGGTCGTCGAATATGTCTCGCTGCCGCTCATGAGCTTTTACATTCCACTCTACCTAACCCCACTCCACCTAACTCCACTCTGTCTAACTCCACTTCACCTAAATCCAGTCAAAATGGCCTCCCTACTTCTTCATTCCACTCCACTCCACTCCACTCAACTCAATTCAACTCAACTCAACTCCATTCCATTCCCTTCCTCTCCGCTCCCTTCTGCTCTGCTCCACTGTATTGGGTGAGATACGCCACTGGCTTGGCGCTATTCCAGCCAGTCATGGCGGCACCCGTGCGTCCAAAGACGGCTGTGCTGGCAACTATTCACCGTTTCTGCTTTAGGCATATTAATAATTGGAGCTTACTAGGTAGCATTGCTTGGTGCAAACCCCTTCCGCCTGCTTTTAGTGCACATACTGAATAAGCTGCTTCAGGAAATCTGAAGCACGCATAATTCACCAAAATACTCGATGGGGAAAATTATTCTACATGGATTAACCCGCGCCCTAGTGGCGGTCTCAGCCAACTTCGCCCTAGTGGGAGGGGGGGGGGGGGGGAGGGGCATATGTTACCACCCACCTCTAACTCAAAAACTAAGAGGGCTAGAAAGACGCGGTAAAAAGCAGTCGATAGCTCTCAATGCGTACGTTTGAAAGTATTTCGGACTTCGGTCATTTTTCACCTTAGAGCAATATTGGGGTCACTGGAGGTAATCAAAGATCATAATTTGCCAAATGTCATTATATTTTTCAGAAAACATGCATTTATCTCAGGAACTATGATAGATAGAAAAACGCATGGAAAAGCAATCGATAGCTCTTGAACTCTTCTTTTGATAAGGTCATCATCAATATTGACCTCAGATCAACGGTTTAGCCTCCAGAGGGCAAAAACTCCAAAAATAACTGTTTTTACGAAAAGTGTTTTTCGACAATAACTTTCGACTACAAAAAGCCACGACATTTCTATTGCCAGATTCGTGTTCCCCTCGCCGAGACGCGTCGAATGAAATATAATTTGTCCTTGAAAGGTCAACTTGAAAATTTGACCTCAGGTCAAGGTCATGACCTGACCGGAATAGGTCATGTTGCATATCAGTCGATGCGTCTCAACAAGACAAACACAATGAGACCATCCCCAGCGTTCTATCTCTTTCCAATCGCCAGTTATTGGCAAAAAACTGTTTGTAGCCTCAAATGACCTCGGATGACCTTTCTAGAGGCTATCAGCAAAAATAACACCTTGGTCATCACGAGTGGTCTAAGTCATTGTGATTCTGAAATATTTGGACTGTTCCAATGCTTACACACGGATCTAGAGGCATTTTCATTTTTCTCCATTGACTTGTAATGGAAAGGTCACGCCACTGACCTGACCTTAGGTCACGGATATAAAAAATCCGAGATATACAAATTGTAGGCGCCCATAACAGCATGCAATCCACCAAGTTTAAAACCTTTCTGACGAACATTGCAGGCTGGACATGATTGCAAACCTTTTTTTAGGCTTGGTC